AGGCGAGCATGGAGTTCTCCACAAGGAGAAACCCTAGGCAAGCTCTCACCCTAGACCAACAGGCCAGGCGAGCATGGAGTTCTCCACAAGGAGAAGCCCTAGGCAAGCCCTCACCCTAGACAAGCAGGCCAGGCAAACATGGAGTTCTCCACAAGGTGAAGCCCTAGGCAAGCTCTCACCCTAGACCAACAGGCCAGGCAAGCATGAGAGGCCTGGTCAGTCCCCTACAGGATGTACAGGGGAAAGCGGAAAAGCACTGACTGCCATCAAGTAATGTCTGTTGACACCTCATTACAGTGCCCCCAGTGCCCATCCCCACTCTCCTGCTGGGACAGCCATGCCAGCTGTCAGTGGAAATGCAGCCAGGTCCCCACGAGACGGCTTCTGGTTGGCTCAGAAACCTCAAGGCTTGGGCTCCTGGGCCTTCTCACCAAAGGAACCTAGAGGTTGATTTACAGGTAGGTCCCTGGGTGGTGCAAACGATTAAGCATTTGACTACTAACCAAAAGGCTGGGAGCTCGAGTCCACCCAGAGATGCCTCGGAAGAAAGGCCTGGCAATCTACTAATGAAAAATCAGCCATTGAAAACCCTATGGAACATCATGCTACTCTGACACACATGGGGTCATCAGGAGTTGGAACTGACTCCACAGCGACTAGTAAACAGCTTAGGAGGTTGGGGGCACACCTTCAATGGACGTAGAACACCCAACAACAGATTCACAACCAACTGAAATGGAACCTCTGATGATAGGCTGAAGACTCTCTACATTTTTCCCAGCATTTCTCTACCTATAACCCCCCAAAAAAACCAAACCTGTTGCTGTTGAGTTGATTCTGACTCATAGCAACCCTATAGGACAGAGCAGAACTGCCCCATAGGGTTTCCAAGGAGCGCCTGGTGGATCCAAACTACCGACCTTTTGGTTAGCAGCCTGAGCTCTTAACCACTGTGCCACCAGGACCCCTTCTACCTATAATAAGCCTAAAATGTATCTAAATTGTGGCCAAAAGAAAAAAGATAATAAAATAAAAATAGAACTGCTCAAAACATTTTTAAATTTCCTCCAGCACCTTAAATGTTTTCTAAAAAGATGGCCAAAGATGTTTGGATGGGCATTTTTGGGGTTGCCTGTCTCTGGATGTCAGGATAGTTCCAGACCTTAATGGTGAGCTGACTTTCTTCTGCACGTATTTCTTATCAGTGTCAAACAAAAAGCCAGAAAATCAACTTTGTTTCCCAGGACACAACAACACGAGATCTCCAGGAAATGCTGACAAGATTACTACTTTTGCATTGATATGAAAATAGCTAATGATATTGTCAGTCTTGGAGGGAAGGTCATTGTCAGGGGGATGGGATGATGAGGCTTGTTCTGGAAAGCACCATGTGGGGAAGCTGTCACTCACTGTCAGCTCTAAGTGTCATCTGGTGGCAAGAACCTGCAACCTATTCAACCCATCCCCATTCATCGTACCCCGAACGTTTGTTTATCTGACAGAAAAGAGACCTCTCAGACCGCACATGAGGTGGCGGAGGGGGAGGTCCAAAGAACTTTGCCACATGAAATTGAAAAATCTGTGAGTGCTAACACGATCAGCTGCTAACCAAAGGCTGGCGGTTCAAATCCACGCAGGGTTCTGCAGGAAGACGACCTGGTGATCTGCTTCCGTAAAGATTACAGCCTAGAAGATCCGACGGGGTAGTTCTACTCCATCACAAGGATAGCTACGAGTCAGAATCGACTCCCTGGCACCTAACAACAACAACACAACAATCTAGCTTGTTATATTTTTTTCAGGAAAGTGATCCCTTCCTTGGGCACCTACAGCATGGCCTTTAGCAAACTTGGCACTAGGAAAATACATGGGGAAAAAAAAAAGAGGACCCACAATTAAAACTCTTCTTTTTTTTTTTTTTTTGCACGACATGCAAAAGCACAGAAGCATCCAAAGTGTCTTCACCTCTAGTAGGTAGAAGGTTTGCTTCCGGATCAAGCGAGGGCTATGAAAACAGGCTGCAGTTCAAATCCTGACTTTTCCCTTGATAGCTGTATGGCCTTGAGCCAACTGCATAACCATACCGTGCCTCTGCCTCCTCAGCTGGGAAAAGCGAGAAGGCATCTATTTTCCAAGGGTATTGGGAGGATTAACTTAAATAACAAGACCTCAAATGATGCTACTTTTCTTTCTTTCTTTAATAATATAAACAACTTTTTCCTCTAAGTATAGGGGATATAAGAAGGCCTTCAAGTAAGTGGTTTTACTTAGAATCCCAACAACCAAAAGGACACGACACAGGGACACTTCACTTCTTGGGACGGCACCATCTCACTGCTGCAAAAAGCACAGCCAAGAACCAGGAGACAAAGATAATTTGGGGGCCGCTGAAGCCAATGCAACTAAAATCCATGCATTCGGTAATTTGCTTACGAAGACCTCCTCAGACCCCCAGTTAAGGTCTTCTGACATGTACTTTACACAAACAATTTAAAACAAACTTGGTTATCTAGTAATTCAGGCCACAGAAAATTCCTTTCCAAGAGAGAAAAATGATTAGAGGAAAAGGGACTGCTTAAAGTAAATACAGTCCCTGGGTGGCACAAATGTTTAAACGCTCGACTACCAGCTAAATGGCTGGCAGTTCAAACCCCCTGAGGCACCACAGAAGACAGGTCTGGTGATCTGCTTCCGAAAGGACACAGCCTTGAAAACCCTGTGGAGCAGTTCTACTCTGCACACTCAGAATCAACTCAGTGGCAACTAACAACAACGAGGCAAATACTTTGATAGTGTCAAGAAGCAACAGTTAATACAAAGGGAAAAAAAAAACTATTAAAGTCAGACCAAGGAATCTCAAAACAAGAGCAGTCTGGGGCCATTTACCACTGTGTACGGGCTCCATGTTGTTACTGTTGGTAGGTGCTTCGGAGTTGACTCCGATTCATAGCAACCCCGTTTGTTACAGAGTAGAACTGCCCCAAAGGGATTTCTCGGCTGTAATCTTTACAGAAGCATATCATCAGGTCTTTCTTCCTCTGGGTGGGTTTGAACTACCAACCTTTTGGTTGGCAGCCAACCACTTAACTGGTACGCCACCACAGACCTTGAAAACCCACAGCCTCCCCCAGGGATATGATAAATCACGATAACTGCTGTTGACGCAGATATCTACCCCCGCCCCCACCGCCCACTTGCCCCACTCCTGCCCATTTTACTGCCTCCCTTTACCCTTCACTCCCTCTCTCTTTCCCTCCCTTGTCCACCCCAAATCATTCAGCAAAGGCTAAATCTTAGCAGTATACTGTGATCAAGAAAGCATGGGCATAGACAGGGGTGCTAAGTCCATTTGATGGGGAAAGACGAGTCTCTTCAATAAATGGTGCTGGGAAAATTGGATTTCCACATGCAGAAAAATGAAACAGGATCCATGCCTCACACCATACACAAAAACAAATTCAAAATGGATTAAGGACCTAAATGTGCAAACTAAAACCATAAAATCCTTAGAGGAACCAACAGAGGCAACGTTTCAGGTCTAGCTTTCAACAAAGGATTAGCTAATATAACAACAAAAGCGCAAACAGCAAAAGAAAAAATAAATAAATAAATGGGACCTCATCAAAATTAAAAGCTTTTGTTCATCAAAAGATTTTACCATATAAGTGAAAAGGCAAGCTACTGACTGGGAGATATCTACAGAAACCCTATATCCAACAAGAATCTAATAACCAAAATATATCTAAAACTCCAACAACTTAACAATGAGAAGACAAATAACCCAATCATAAAATGGGCAAAGGACTTGAATAGATATTTCACCAAAGAGGACATTCAGATGGCCATCAAACACATGAAATGATGCTCATCATCATTAGCCATCAGGGAGATGCAAATCAAAAGCACAGTGAGATTCGATTTCACTCCCAATAGGAGGGGTAACATTAAAAAAAAAAAAAAACAACAAATGTTGGCGAGGATGTGGGGAAATTGGAACCCTCATCCACTGCTGGTGGGAA